CAAGACCCCAGAATTGTTTCTTGTTTTCCTAATTTTACAGCAGAAGCTAAGCTTTTAACCTAAAATGACAGCATTCATCAAACATGTTGTATTCTGTGTAGGGGAATAATCCAACTAAATAAATAATAATAACGGTAACAACTGAATGAAGTCAGTTAAAAGTCTTCTTATTTCTCCTCAGGGTGAGCCTGGAAAGCAAGGAGCTTCTGGTGGTCCTGGAGACCGTGGACCCCCTGGACCTGTTGGACCACCTGGACTGACGGGACCTGCTGGAGAGCCTGGCAGAGAGGTCAGGGAATAGATAGCATGCAGCATGTGTGAATTAGATTCACATCTGCAACATTAAGGCTCTCAGCTGTTTTCCTCCAACAGGTGAAGTCCGTCACTATGCACCGCCGTTGTGTCATGTTTACATTTGCATTGTGTTTACACCACATTAATATTGCACCTCATTGAAGCAGGTTTATTATGCAGCTGATCTGTATTCAGTTAAGGGGACATCTGGTTTAGTGGAAACTATTAACATTTGATTTGGTTATTATCTGACAGGGCACCCCTGGATCTGATGGACCTCCCGGTAGAGATGGTTCTCCTGGAAATAAGGTGAGAAGCAAGTCTGGGTCTTATCAATCAATTTTTAATACCCTTATTGATATTTTGGAAACGTTCAAATCAGTATTGCACGATAGTGGCGTAAGACTGCACAACAGCAGCAGCGTGAAGCAAAGGAAAAGTGCAGCCGGAAGCCTAATGAGATGCTTTTATAGATCAGCCTCCTGTAATATACAATCACATGCAATAGTTTTTAAAACACAATCATATTCACTATTTTTTCTTTGTCTGCTGCGACAAATGATTCATTGTAGAGGTAGCTGCACATTTTGGACGAGCTTTATTCTGAGTGCACAGTTTTATAAAAATGTATTTATACAGTATATGTGCATTAAATGTTTATTTTTACCATCTGGTTCTAACATCTTTTATCAAACATTGTGCTTAGGTAGATAGCAGTAATTGAGTTATGTTACGTTACATGTAAATCCCTGACTGTTGTGCTCTCCCTCTGCAGGGGGAGCGTGGTAACACTGGTCCTGCTGGTGCTGCTGGTGCTCCGGGCGCTCCCGGTGCTTCCGGCCCAGTTGGTCCGACTGGCAAACAGGGAGACAGAGGAGAGCCTGTGAGTATTACCTCCAAGACAAGCTAAATTAAAATGGGATGTTCCTAGAAAAGCTGCAGCTGAAGAGCAAAGTTTGTTTGGCCTTATGAGATTTATATAAGGTGGATTTTTCTCCGCTGGAAATTAGCATATTGTCTGATAGCGAGTGCTGAGGAGTGTGTCTCAAGTGTTTTATCCCTGAGTGACCTGTGGTCTAAGAGGGAAATTAAACTCTGTGCTTGCTTTTCTCATTTACATAACATTCAGTCAGTGTACTGTTAACAATTGTAGACTATTTTATCAGTTTGCTTCCTAAACGCAGA